TCAAATATATTGCTATGATAGTTCTGTTGCAAACAGCATCACTACACAGAGGCATAATGATTGTTTGTCCAGAAACAGTTGTGCTGCAGCTGTTTTCAAATAGCAATAAACGAACAATCAGTCAGCCAACTTATCCGCTACAATTTCTGCACAGCAGTTTTCTAAGGCAGCTGTTGCGCAGCAGGTTATTAATAAGCTGCAACTGCAGCTGCCCCAAACAGACCCAAGTCTGCCCATTTCAAGCCTATTAGACAGACAAATCCGATTAAGTTAGCCAAGTTATTGTAGAACAATTGTAAGATTGCATGAAGTGTCAAAGTTTATTGTCTCCAACAGAGATGGCCACCTCTTCGAGACACCAATTGTTTTGGTTGTCACGACTCTCCCTTCGCTTATTCAATCAAAGGCTTTTTACACCACAAAGAAATGAGGTATCTTTCGGTCCTTTAGGCTATCTTTACCTCATTTTTTGTACACCCCTTGAGTTGAATAAAAGCTAATATTGATAGTGCTCTTTTGTCCAATGGGCAAGCTGGTGTTGGATTGGTTATTCGTGATGAGATTGAGAAGATTATAACTACGCAGGAAAGTAACTTTTGCTCTGGAACAGCTCGCTAGTGGAGTTTGAAGCAGTTCTTTTTCTTGGCAATCTCTTGGAGGCTTGGATGTACAAAACTAGAAAGATTATCATTGAGGGTGACAATGTGAATGTCATCAAATTTTTTCGTGATAGTGTAGAGGCTTAGGTACGGCAGCAACAACGTGGAAGTAGGCCTGATCTAACTTTTCTCCATGATTTTAAGCAAGTTTTTTTTTTTTTATGTTAATATAGAATGCAAAAAAGCAGTTTTTCTCCATGATTTTAAGCAAGTTTTTTTTTATGTTAATATAGAATGCAAAAAAGCAGCCCATTTTTGTTCCTGACTTGCTTTAGATAGGTCTTTTGTTTGGGATGCTCACAATTATGACCCCCACCTCTTTGAATGTGGTGGAGGCTAATGTCAACCACATTGCAATTTTTGTGAACCTTTTATAGCTTTTTCTGTACCTTTTTATATTGTATTGCACAATGCACACTTAAGAAAAACTGAGATGGCAGATTTATTTACAATTTATGGAAGAAGATTCAAGATTCTTTGGGAACTTGGTCGATTTTAGTACAACCTTTCACCAAGAGACATGACCAGATAAAAAAGATTATTCAAACCTTCGATGATCTATTAAGGTTATGTGCCATTGACTTTTATGGAGGACGAGAATTACAAGTACACTTGGAAGAATTTACTTATAATAATAATTACCAGACGAGTATTGAGATGACTCCGAATTAAAATTTGTATGAAAGTGTAGGGCACCTTTATGTTGGGCAGAAGCAGGCGAAAGAAAGGTCATTAGAGCTGACTTGGTTGATGATGCTTTTAAGAAGATCAAACTGGTCATAGACAAATTAAAAATAGTGCAGAATAGTTAGAAGAAATATTACGATGTCAAGCATAAATCTTTTGAGTTTAAAATTGGAGAGTTTGTATTTATCAAATTTATTCCATTGAAGGTTGTTCAAAGATTTGGAAATATAGAAAAATTAAGCCACAGATATGTAGGCCCATATGAGATTGTGGAAAGAAATGAAAATGTAATTTACAAATTGGCTTTACTAGCTCAAATTCAGGAAGTAGATAATATTTTTCATGTATCTTCACTTAAAAAGTATATTGTGAGGAGTCTAATAAAATTGTTATAGATTTATATATTTACTGGAGATACAACCTGATTTGATATTTACAGAAGAGACTAAATAGATTCTAGATTATGAAGAAGCTTTGTAATAGCAAAATTCCATCTGTGAAAATTCTATGGAGACATTGATCAGTAAAGAAAGCTAGTTGGGAGAAAGCTTATGATATACAAGAAAGATATCCCCAAATTTTTAGTTCAGGAGTATTATTTTATATTAAAACTTTCAAATTTCAATATTAAAATTTTATAAGAATGAGAGATTGCAATAACTAAATAAATAAATAAAAATTTAAAATGTGTTATTTCGAATTAACTGTCGAGACGGCTCGTTTAAGTGAAGTTGAAGGGAGGACTTCATTTGTATCCACAACGAGAACGAGAGAAGTGAGAGACTGAGAGATAGTAAGCGAGAGGAGAAGAACGAAGAAAAGGAGGAATAAATTTTAGTGAGAACAAGGAAGAGGGAGAGGTGAGGTTCCGGCGCATCATCTTTGCGCAAAGGAGAAGAAGAGGGGATCGAGCACCCTCACATTCAAGTCTTCCCATGCAAACGAGAGGAGAAGTCTATGAAGAAGAATACGTGATCTGAGCTTCATATACGAAGGAAGAGGAAGAACCGTGACTTCAAGGAAAAGCCTCGTGTGTGACGTCATTATCGTATCAAATCATAGTCAAAGGAAGAGAAAAGAAGGCGAGGGCATGGCTTTGTGCGTGAAGTGGAGGGTTGGCCCTGATAAAACCCTTGTTGAGCAGCTCTAGTGCTTAGAGGAAGGAGGAGAAAAGAAGAAGACCTCCCCTGTGTTGCATTGGGTTGAGCAGAGATCGAATGAAGGAGGGAAAGACTTGTGTGTCAGATTAGGGCAACCGACCGAGGCTTATTAAAGCCATATTTGAAATTTTTTTAATCAAGTCGAGATAGAATGATGTAGGATTTAGTCATGTAGTGCAAGGATTACAAACTTGCAAGTTGTAACTCGTACAAAAATAAACATGGTAAGAAACAAATGACAAGACCATAGCCACAACACTTATTATTGGTTTCATTGCACCAATAGTTATTCAGATTTTTATACCAAAAACATAACTTGAATGGATGTCACAGCCCACTTTTGGAGGAGATCCTCTATAACAAAATATCAACACACTTACATAGTTATTTGTTCAATAACACGGAGAACTAAGAACCCTTAAAAATGAAAAAATTTTGAACGATAGGAAAAAGAAGGCAGAATGGATTCAGCAGGGACAACCAATGACAGATTTGAATTTCAAACTTGTAAAATTTGGAAGTCATACTTCGATCTCAAGTGGATGACCATGGATGCCCATGCGACGATCTATCATGCAAGAACCATCTGTTACTAGAAGAGATGGAAACATATCAAATCCATCCGTCAAACATAAATTTAATATTAATCTAATTCCAAGTTGTACATCCACTCTCTCCTGCAGGGCATAATCCCCTGTGATCTTTCCATAGGCTCTCAGCAAAATTATCCACCATAACCCTGTCAGTAAGAATAAGTACAATAAAATCATCACATAAATTTATCTTTTCATATAAAACCAGGAACTAAGCGCACACAACATAATACAATGACTCAATATGAACTCACCAGAATCAACAGGAGCCACACGCCCAATAGCAGATTCACCAAAATCAGGGTCCAAAATTTCCTCAAATCCTTCATTGCTTCCATCTAAAGGAACCGTCCTAACCTTAAAACTAGCTGGCATTAACCCTTGCCCTGGGCTATAGCAGTCCACTGTCTTTTCCCAGCTCTGGTTATCCGGTGAAAGGAGCAAAGATGATGTATTAGGCAATGAACAAAATTAATTAAAAATGAACTGAATTATGGTGCCTCTCAAGATTCAAATACAAGACACATCCATGCTGCCGGAATAAGATTAGAAATGAAAAAAATACACCCTTGTTTAAAGTCTCATAATAAAGGAAAGACTGTCATTTCATCACGCAGCGCACATTGCAATTTTGGTGATTACATGTTTAATCTGAATAGCTTTAGCACAGGATGAAATAAAAGCATTGATGATACACCTTACATTGAATTTCACACATAAGAAAGTGGCATACTAACAAAGTTTTTTCAACATAAGAAGATCGATCTACATATTATAAGAAACTAAATTGGTGTTGGAACGTGAATCTGATGATTGTTTTTTTTGTGTTTTAAAAGGTGAACTATCTTAGCATATGGAACACCATTAACAATAACAAACAATAATTCTATAAAAAACTTCTTAACGAAAGCCATAAAAATAGAATTAGCAATCACGACACAATTGATTGCAATGGATTCATCAAAAACACTCTCTGGTTAAGCACTAGCTACAGTGGTCAAAAGTAATGAAAGGTACTCTCATATTAAGCATAAATGTTACAAATAATTTAGATATTACATAAGAGACAGATAACATTATAAAAGGATGCAAAAGACCAGGAGCTGTCCAGAGAAAACTTGTCATATGTATAAAAATGATATTTTTCCTCAAATCTCCAATATGAAGGAGAGCCAACTTATAAGCTCCATATGAGAGAGATCCAAAAATTTAATAGTCCGTGCATGTATATTTGACACAGCCTACAACTGCAAAATGCATTTACAACATATCACCATAGTTTTTGGCACTTAATGACACGTGTTTCTATCACATATGAAGCTCTTCTGAAAATTACTACGTTATAGGCCAAATCATAGGAAGCCCGACACGTGTTATGTGTTCTACCTATATAACTACCATAAAAGCACAAATCATATTCTACAAGCATTGTAATGTTGACATAAATATGTTCCGCTGCAGATGAGCAAAAGATAAATAAATAACACACTAAAAATTTTCTACAGTTTTCCTGGTATAAAAGCAATTTTTATTTAAGTTGTAAGATGAATTATTTGGTTATGGTTCAGAGATTGACTTAGAGTAAGAGTGTTGGATATTCGAAGATGTCATCTGTTTAGTGTGTCGGTTCTGCTACTTCTAAGAAGAGGAAAGAAACAGACGGAAGAGAAAACGAAGAAACAAAGAAGAGAAAAAGAAGAGTCGAGCAACTGAAAAGAAGGGAGATGAAACAAGGGGGGTTGGAAGCCGAAGAGGTGACTTCGCCCAATAAATTGACGCGTGAGACGGGAGCTTTTAGGCATGAGGTCAGAGAATAGAGGAAGGAAGGAGAGTTGTTTAGAGTTTTTCATACACGAGGATACACCGCAGTGAGAGAAGAAGAGGATCGCTGCTTTTCTTTTTTGCGTCATGAAGCATATCACAATGTTTCTTATAACACTCCAAAAAAGGGAGAAATATAAAATAAATACATGGTGTTCAAGGCTTCATCATCATTGCAAAACAATACTCACAACTTTACTCATTTCATTATTCTCCATATTCAAACAAAAGTCCCCCACTTAGTTTGGGGTTTACCCATGAATGTTAATTCTAATTGTATGCTACACTAGATGCAGAGCAGTTAAGAAGCGTCATGTAAACCATTCCTCAAGATAGCTTCGCCACTTTCTTCAATATCAAAGCATGAACCTCCTAAACATGGTCTTGGACCTTGCAACGGTACTTTCAAGGTCCATAAGAATCCTCCACCACCTTAGGGGATGTTGTGACCTTCCTATGCATTAGTTCGACATCCAATTATTTCTTCTCTAGGCATATTAAAGTATTCAACTTTTTCACAAATAAATGCTTGTCTTCTCAATTAGAACTATATGACTTCTATCATCTTAAGGAGATGAAGGTCATTGATCATTGACTTAGTGCATCACTTGATGTGAGGAAAGTGAATTTAAACAATTCACCTCAAGAGCATCACTGCTCATGGTAGAAACGACCATGCCAACTACTTCCTTGCCGCCTACCTTACTCTAAAGTTTCTCCTGCAAAACATTTAACAAAATTTAGGCAAGTTTAAACCCGAAGCATGTTTTTGCTGAAAAAGAAAATTATTCACCTAAAGAGAGTCACTCGTCAACTCAGGCCAATGGACACTAAGAAGAATGTTTTAATTTATTTATTTATGTTTAACTGCAATAATTCACACCAAGCTCTTCTAAGAGATTTGCTATGTGTTTCAGGCCAATTTTCAAATGGTAGTGTAAACTTGAGATAAGACTACCTATAAATTATACCCTCATTTTGGGGGACTTCAAGGTCTAGTTATAGGTTTCTGATAAGTGCAAGCCCCTTTCTTTAATTATCTAACAAAATAATTAAAAAGAAATTTTGAATAAGGGTAATCATTAAGAATTAAATGCTCAATATATATAGTAGCGCTGAATGATATTTAAGATTAAGGAAATTCACATATGAGTTTAAAGTAGATGATGGGGAGAATAACGATCAACCCAATCAATATATCATAATTCCGCTATTATGAGCTGTCATGAACCATAGTTTATTTAGTTTATGAAGGCGGTCAACTAAATCTAAATAAAAAATAATTATCAGCAAACACAGGTTGTCTTTTCCAAAAAGATCTTATAGACCCGGGTAGGTATTTTGTTTAAAAAGATATTAACTAACAAGATACGTTATGACTCATTAAGTGCACCGCATGATTCAAAAATTCAAAGGAGTTGAGAAATTTGATAACTTCTGGGCTTCAAATTTGACTGCAATATAATGCTGACGTTTTACGATGAACCAAATAGCTAGAGGGCCCTAGTAATAACAACTCTTTTTTTTATATCATTTAAAAGTAACACTATACACTCAAAAGACAAAAGCCACATCCACACTACTGTGAGAAATTTTAAGAGTAACCACAAAAGCACGCTTGATATTATATTGAATTTTTATGGTCTTAGATTAGTCTCAAATTCATCACCCACATTAGAATATTACATTGGCGGAATGACTTTTTACTCTTAGCTTCATATAGTAAACTTCACTATAATAATTTTAAATTTTATAAACTTCAGTAAAAATTTTACAATTCTAGCCAGATTTAACTCACAAATGTTATGTGTTGAGATCCATGGGCATTTTAATAATATGATACTCTCGAGTTGAAGTGTTCTATCAACACAACCATGATTAGAATATTTACATAATTTTGTTGAGTTTTTTTTAACTATTGACTTTGCTTGCTTACATATAGAAAATTAGGTCTATGATTTTGTATATGATCTGAATTAATCTAAGAATTTGTCACACTAAAGTATCTATCAACACTATCTTCATAGATAGAGGATTTGTTTTGAATAACGAATACATCATCATATTTTTATAAGTGTAATCATTCCAAGAATTTAGATTTTTAAATGGATTTTCTTCAAAAAAAGACCATAAAGTTGTATGCAAACAAAAAATAAAATAACTTATATAGGTTTGCAAAAAAAAGTGTTTGAATCCTAGCAACTTTTGAGAAAATAGGATGAATGTCATTTTCCTTTGCTTTCATTCCAATAAATAATAGTTTGTACAATCTATTTTATGTAACTTAATAATGCATATTCCTAATGTAAATATTCAGCTATAAGGAAAGCATATTTACAATTAAAATAAGAAATTTAATTCAGCAATTTAAAGAAGGAAACTCTTAATTCTGCCCGATTTCAGTTATTCTTGATTGATATCCCCCTCATATTGATGTTGACTGGTCAAGAAGCATCAATTTGTCAACAAGGAACTGATGATGCTGTTGAGAAAGGGTTTTAGTAAATATATCAGTCTTTTGAAGATCAAAAGAGATATAGGAAAAAGAAATAACACTATTATCATTAGCTTCTCGAATAGAATGATAGTCCACTTCAATGTGTTTGTGCGCCCATGAAAGACAAGGATTAGCTGTAATTTAGATAACACTAGTTTTATTTGCATAAAAAGAAGTAAACTCAAGTTGAAGAAAACCAAACTCAGCCAACAAACCACGAAGCCATATCATCTTAGAACAAGCAGAGGACATAACACACTATTCAGACTCAGTATAAGACATAGACATTCGATCTTGTATTTTACTCTTCCAAGAAATTAAAGAGTTGAAGAGACACATACACCAACCAGTAATAGATCAGCGTGTATCAAAACTGCCAACACAATTAGCATCACTATAGGTTGTTAAGCAAATAGGAAACTCCGCAGAAATGAACAAGCCACGATGAGAAGTATCTTTTAAATACCTAACAATAAGCCGAATTGCAACTTAACGAAGATGTGTAGGCGTCAGCATAAATTGACGAATTTATTGTACAACAAATGGAATATCAAGACGTGTGATGGTTAGAAAATTGAGACTCCCAACAAGTTGTCGATACAGAGATGGATCAGATAGGAAGTCATCATCATTTCATTGATATTTAACATTCACTTCCAAAGAAGTAATGACAGAACGACCCTCTTGGAGCCTGACCAAAGCAATGAGTTCTTTAATATAGTTATGTTGGTGAAGGAAAATATCTGCGGGAGAAGAGTGAACCTCAAGACTTTAGAAATAAGTTAAATATCATCAAAATAGATTAATAATAGCACAATTTCCTTGTTAGTCTTGCACAGAAGAATGAAGTATCATATTGTCTTTGAATAAAAGAGAAGCTAAGAAGAATATTGCAAAACTATTCAAACCAAGCCCGTGGAGCCTGTTTCAAACTGTATAGAGACCGTTTGAGCTTACAAGCATCATGTGAGGGAGTAGAAAACAAATCTGGTAGAGTCATATGGATATCTTCCTTGAGGTCTCCATGCAAAAATGCATTCTTAACATCCATCTGTCATAAGGACCAGTTTTTAGATGCAGTAATAGATAGAACAAGCCGAAG